ACCGTACAGTTGCCCTACCGAACCCAGGTGCAAGTCCCACACTGTGTCTCCAGTGTTGTCCTCTATAGGGCTATGGGTCAGTGAGGGATGTCATGCCTCCTAGTGGGGCCAGCCATGTGGTCCTCTCTGTGGACTGGCTGCTCTAATTGTGAACATCGTCCTCACAGCATGGTGGGCCAGGATGTGCTCCACTCTCTCCTCCTCCCCCTTCATCTGCTCCCGTGTGTTCCTATCAGATATGTCCCTCTCCCGGAGCTGCAGATTTAATGCCGTTCTTTGAAATAAATCCTTCTGGGGGAAGGGGTACTCTTCACTCTTGGAAACATTTTTCAAACTCACCTTTTTGGATGGTTGACAGCACCTCCCTTGTTCTTCACCTCTTCTACCTCTTCAAATCGCTGTCCTTTCATGTCCCTCTGCATTCAAAGAAACAAAAAAGTTGCACGGAGCAAGGTCAGGTGAGTAAGGTGTGTGGGGCAAGAGAGGCATGCTGTTTTTTGCCAAAAACTGGCGCCCTGAGATGGTTGTGTGAGCAGGTGCATTGCCGTGGTGGCAAAACCAGTCCCCCATCTGCTACAAGTCAGGCCTTTTTTTGTCGCACTGTTATGCAATCTTTTCAGAACCTCTAAATAGAAAGCTTGTTTAGCAGTCTGACCTGGTAGAAGGAACTCCAAATGCACTGCTTTACAAGTCCACGTTTTCATCCCTCTGGGCAGTTTATGAACGTCCAGAACAAGATTTTACATCAATTGACATCTCACCGAAGATGTGAAACGCAGGGAATCCAGGGTAGATGATCCCTTCTTCAGGACCAGTGGTGTGAATGGCGATACTGGGAGGGCAGAGGGAGGGTAGATTGGAAAAGGGGAAGCGATTACAAGGTTCTACATGTGTCCTCCTCCCTGGGGGACGGACAACAGAAAAATGGGTGAAGGGAAATGTCAGACAGGGCAAGATATGACAAAATAATAATTTATAAATTATCAAGGGTTCATGAGGTAGGGGGGAGGGAAGGGAAAAAATGAGGAGCTGATGCCAGGGGCTTAGGTGGAGAGCAAATGTTTTGAGAATGATGATGGCAAAGAATGTACAAATGCTTTACACGTTGATGTATGTATGGATTGTGATGAGTTGTATGAGCCCCTAATAAAACGATTAAAAAAATAATGACATCAAACCAAAAAAAAAAAGAAGAGTATTTTGAAGGTGATAAGGTTGTTTTGTAAAAAAAATTGGGTGGGTAGGTGGAGGGTTCTGGGTTTTTTTTTGGGTCCTCCCTTGTAGACACCCAAAGTTGATCTCCAGACCCCAGCCCAGAAAGGGTTGTGTGGGGCAGGTGGGAAGCCACCATGCCCTCTGCTCACGCCCACAGCTGATGAGTGCTTAACCATTGCACCATCAGGCTTCCATCGATGGATCAAGTTAACTGATGACGGAGCACAGCCCACATCCTGCCCTAGGCATCCGCACTGAAGTTGAGAGACAATAGCCACCCCACCCCCACCCCCCGCTGAGCCAACCAGCATGGCGGCTTGGCAAGCTCTTCTAATGGCAGCAGTCATGTTAGCCATAATTTCCAGAAATGGGAGCCAGCTTACAATGTCCCAAATCAGGGCTCTCTCTGCAATACAATCATCCCTCTCCATGAATCAAAAATAGAACAAAGAGCAGTCCTCGTATCATTTTCTAAATACTGCTTTGCATACGTCTGGCGGCTATATGATGCCATTAGGCCCCATGTATAAGCAGCAGCAGCAGCAGCAGCATCCTGACAGACCGGCTTAGAGATCCTCTGTAGTAAACGGAGCTACTGCTCCCTGGACAGGTACTCGAGCGGTTCCTTGAAAAGAATGTTTACAGAGCTTCTACGATGGGAGGCTGCAAGGCAGCCTGCTATAGGCAACAGAAACCTTTTTATCCAAAAACTTTTTTAAAGCCCCTGACTGCTAACCAAAAAGGCCAGAGGTTCACATCCAACAGCCGCTTCCTGGGAGCAAGACAGGACAGTCTGTTTCCGTACAGATCACAGCCTTGGGCACCTGATGGGGCAGTTCCACTGTTCACCATGGTCACGATGAGTCGGAATTGACTCAATCACAGTAGGAAGTTGTTGGCTTTCTTTCTTTCATCGACTCAAGAGCAGGAGTGAAATACAGTGGGGTTAACAGAGTCTTTTTTAAGTGGAGGGACTCTGGATCTCTGCTTTCACTTCTCTGAAGAAACAACGAAGTGCAACTCAACGCTGCTGTCAAGTGCATTCTGACCCGCAGGAGAGCTGGGTGGGGTGAGTACAGCTGCCCCCAAGGACGCCTGGGGCTGTAAATCCTCAAGGGAGCTGAGAGCCTCCTTTCCCCTTTGGGGCAGCTGATGGTTTCAAACTGCTGACCTGGGGTTGAGCAGCCCAGCTTGGAAGCCCCACAGAGGGCTCCAAAAGTAACCGAGAGAAGCAATGGGGGAAGGGCGCCGAGGACTGAAATAGGCGTGAACCTTGTAGAATTGACCCACATGTTGCAAATAATATAGTTTAATAAAAAGGCCTTCCTGGGGCAGATCACAGAGCCCAAGGCCAGCTTACCACTGAGACAGCAGCCCCAGGAGGGAAGGCTAGGACCACACCCACTGACCCTGCACCAGCCCCCTTTTTGCTGAGAAGGGATCCATTGCAGGCGTGGAACCGGTTTCACCTGGCCCACCTGGGTCCAGAAGGGTACAATGGGGGTCATAACCCAATCACCTTGCCAACTCGATGCTGCTGTTTCGGTGAGGTTGGAGAACGCATCTGCCTGCTTTGAGTGAGCAGAGGAACCATGGGCAGGGCGTCTGCAGGGCCTCCGGTTTGGGTGGTGCCAAAAACGCCATGAAATTCAGAACCACCAGTCTTGGGTGGAGGTATTCAACTTTTCTTGTGTGCCCGGTAACCAAGCGAACCCGTGTGGCGGATACTCTCCGCCCAGGCGGTGAGGTGCCCTCGCTTCATCCCATGTTGACAAAAGCCACTGTAACTTGCTTAACAGATGTTTCAAGAATGCAGTTTCTGGGGCAGAAGATTAATTCTTGCCTCCGCATGAAGATAAGATGCATTTGAAGTCTACTTCTGAAAAGTCTACTTCAGCACAATACTAATACCAACTTATCTAGGTCACCTGGTCCTCCCACCTGGGAAAGGAAACAAAGCTCCCAGGAAAACAGGCAGTAATGAGCAGCTTGGCTTCAGGCTCCCTTGTTTGTTTGTTTGAAACATCAATACTGGCTAACAGACAGACTTACTTCACACCAAGCTCCCTGGGGCATGTGGGTTGCCATTTCCGGAGAGAGGAAGTTAAGAAAGGGCTAGGATTGGCTTCATTTGACACATCCCGTCCAGAAGTGTAATGCTGTGTGTGTGGGGGTGGGAGACACACATGGCTAAACACCTTTTGCAAATTCTTAAAGAACCAACTTTTTCAGAATCATTTATTTTGCTTCCTGTCCAATTCTAGGCCACATATGACCAAGGCATATACACAGCAATATACACAGCACCCTCTGGGTGAGGTGGGGTACTACCCAGCTTCCTAGCCCTAAGTGGTGGGGAGTGTGTCCAGATCTGGGGTGGGGGGGCAGTCAGTGAATCCAATTAAGACTTGAGTTGCCCTAAGAGGATAAGTTGTCTAGTTTCATAGGACAGGCAGGGCTAGGAGAGGCCCAGACCGGGGAGTATTATCAGAGCCAGGAGTATTAACCTGGAACAAACACTATCAGGGATTCAGGATGAAGGAAGCCTCATCTCCGACGAGGGCAATCTGAGGAAGGTGATCTTCCCTCGTATGGAGGGGAGGTGGGGCTACAGGGAAAGCAGGCCCTGCAGGAGCAGGTGCCCCCGGGCACGGGCTCTCCACAGCACCAGACTGGGCCAACCCACCAGGGCTGGACCAGGGAGCCTCTGGCCTGGGAAAGAGGAGGAGCCAGCAGGGCGGGAGGAGAATGGGCCTGCACGTGCCAAGTGGCAGGGCTCAGTAAACACTGGGTTGGATCAGTGCCCAGCCCAGCCCAGAATGTTGTCTGGGGGCAGCAAGTGCCCAGCTCTCAGCTGACAGCCACCACCGCCGTCGCCTCCAAGTCCCTAGTGCTGCTGCCCCTGGCTTACCAACGTCACCCTCTGCTCTGGGCTGTGAAGGCGAGGAGGGCTGCAGGGGCAGGTGGGGAAGAGCCAAGGACTGAATGCTGTTCTTACCCTCGAGGGGGCTGGTGAGGAAACATTGGCGGGGCTAATGCGGGGCAGGGTGGGACACGTTTATTCCGAGTTTGGTACATCTCATATTCCGGGCCAATGCGAGCCACCAAGTGATGTATGGTGATAAGCGGGTGATCCCTGGACCGTCTGTTCTGTCACATAGGCCGGCTCAGAAGGGAGCACGGGCCCCAGCGGGCCATCTCAGGCTCCGAGACCACACCTGCACCTGCAGACGCCAGGGCGGCTCCCCTCCAGAGCACCCAGTACCCTGGCCCTGGCATGGGAGACCTGTGCCAACCAGTCAGTCTGACGCCAGGCGGGAGCTCCTGCAGCTGGAGTCAAACTGGGGGCTGAAAGGGGGGCCCCCCGGCTGCGGCACAGGGCGGCGCGGGGCTTGACGTTTCAGGGCCGGCGGTCCTTTCGTCGGAGCTTGTGTCCCACCTGGGAGCCCCGCTGGGCAGCTTTCACCAGGCCTTTGAACTGACCCTGCAGCTTCACCTTCTTCCTGTGGGGACAAGGAATCGAGGAGTCACACCTCACGGGGAACAGGCTGCCGCCCCCGCAATGCCCGCAGGCGAGCCATGTGTGGACTGGGCAGCGGGTGTGCAGCCCCCGCTTCTGTGCGGCTTCCTGCTGGCAGGGCGGATCCATTCGGGACAGAAACCGCGTCCCGCCCAGGCTCCCTTCTGTTTGGTGGTAGCTTATCTTCGGCAGAGTGTGTTTTGTGACTAACAGTGTGAAGCACTACTTCCTTCTAGTTGTGTGACGGTGGTTCCACAGCCCTCTGGTGACATAGTGGTTATGTGTTGGACTACTACTCAGAAGTTCAGCCATTCAAAACCACCAGCCGCATCAAGGCACAAAGACAAGGATTTCTATCCCGCTCAGGAAGCCCCAGGGGTGGTTCTACCCTGACCTATAGGGTCACTCGACTCGATGGCAGGTGTTTCCTGTTGCTGAATGAGTTCCAAAGCACGCTGGGATACGCAGTCATGTGACCTTCACGAGTGCTCCTACCCCCACCCTGAATTAATGAATGGCCAAAGAGCAGGAGCAACTTGGACTTCCCACTAACGAGGGACTCTGGAGCGACCTCTGGGGACAGGAGAGCGGCCCTCTTAAGTCTCTATGGTCGCCAGGCTCCACCCCCGGAGTTAGCTGCGGGTGGATTTGAACGGCCGACTGCACAGTCATGGGGCTCCTGGAGAAGCCGACGTGGCCAAACACCATGCTCCACAGCAGTCAGACGCACGCACGCACCACCCACATTCATCTGTAAGGAACGTGCACTCAAGCCAAAGGAAAACAGGAAGGTCACCAAGCAGCCGAGTTGAGGCTTCCGTGAGCATGAGCCCCAGCCCAGAGCCCCGGCCCCCGGCCTGCAGCAGCGCACCTGCGGTTCAGCTTGGTTCTGTTGAGGGGGATGTAGGCGTAGGGGTCCAGCCGACCCTTCTTCTTCACGTCACCCTTCGCTTTCTGTTACCCGAAGACAGAGGGTCAGCTAGGAGTGGCCTTCTTTCCCGGTTTCCCCCACAGACCCCAAGTGGGCCAGCTCCTTACCCTCCCCTTCATTCCTGGGCTGAGGTGCCAACGTTCTGGGAGGCCATTCCACAGAAGTGGCAAAGTTTCAGGTGCCAACCAGGCTCAGTGTGCCTCTGCCCCCACCTTTCCTCAGTCAGCTCCACCCTTGAGCTCCTCTCCAGGAGGGTGAGAGTGGGGCTGCAGGACTTTCTCCTGGCACCCTCTCCCCCACCCTCAGCCCTTACCTTGGCCTTGTACTCAGTCCCAGGCCTGGCTTTCTTGGCCAAAGGGCGATGGATGCCAGAGCCTCCAGCTAGAGGGAGAAGAGGGGCAGGGGTCAGGCAGAGGCGAGGCGAGGCGAGGCGGCCACCCCCTGCAGGCCCTGAGACCCGAGTGAGGTGGGCAGAGAGCGAGCAGCTGTGGAAGAGGCGGGAGGGAAAGGCAGAACGCGGCTCTGTGCCACAGCCAAGGGCAGAGGCCCTCCGTGGAGGCCACAGACCTAGGTCCCAGCTCTGCCACCAACCTCAGCCAAGTCTCGTAACTGTCTGGTCCCTTCAGCCTTTTCAAGGTTCCCCCCTCCCTCCGTCCCCTGTGCTCCACGCCAGCGCGGAGAGAAAGGCAGGTGGCTGTGAACACCGAGGTCCCGATGAGTCATTTCCAGCGAGCACCCTACAACGCGGACGCAGGAAGACTCTGGAAGATGACCAGACCAGTGCCACACAACTCAGTAGCAACTGGGCCTGGGCCTCCTGCTTCCAGGTCTGGGGCCTGCGCTGCACCACCTCATCTCGGAGCAGAGGCCACGGGGGCCCTGGCCCGGCGCCTCAGGAAGAGCGCTGAGGCTCTCTGGCCAAGCCATGGTGACAAGGGCCAGCAGGCCCTGAGAGAGACGGGAAGCTCACCTCGGTACTGCGGGGGCACCTCCAGCTCCTCGTCGGCGGCCTCCTGGCGCTGCTTAAGCTTTTGGTATTTTCTCTGTAGAGTCAAACAGGAAGTTAGTGACCAAGGGCATGTGGCCATCTGTACAAGTGACCGCAGGAGAGGCAGCAGTCACCTGTGCTGGGCATGAAACGAAAGGCCCTTTGGCGAGCACGAAACCCCCCAGTAGCAGCCCAAGAAATGAAGGCCCAGAGAGGGCAAGTTGACTGCCCCTGACCACACCGATCACGAGTCTCCAATGCGCGGCCTCTCAGCATGGAGCCTGCACGTCCACCTGTCCGCTTTGCCTGTGTCATGGGGAGGAGGTCCTGGGACCCTGAGACAGCAGCCTCCCCACAACCAGGCCCTTGTCTCACAAACTGCTCCCCTCGGCCCCCATGAGTCACCCACTCACTGGTCTTCCAGCGAGTGCCAGGCCCGGCCGGGGACATAGGTGACAGACCTCCGTGCCTGTGCTCTGGGGCGTGCAGGCTGGTGGGAGGCCCTACGCTCTGGGGAAGCACTAAGGGGCCTCTTGCCGCTACCTTCTCCCAAGTGAAAGCAACAGCAGGAGACACATTCCTGTGTCCTGCTGCCTTCCAACAGGAAGGGCAGGGGGGCTGGGGCTGTGCAGGGAGGGGAGTCACTGGGGGGAGACCCTCGCACATTCGAGTGAAAACAATGAGCTGGAGGAAAGTTGAGCTTGTCAGGCGCTTTGCTGACACGTTTCATGCACAAGTTTCCACCCCATAAGACAATCCCAGTAATTCTGCTGGATGGCCTGCTTCTAAGGCCAGGGTCACAGATGAGCACGTGAGGCTTTGGCAGGCTAGCCTGGAGACACATGGGACCCAAGAGCCTGCAGCCTCACGACTCACACAGCTTTGGTTCAGCGGGAAGGAGGCAACGGCAAAGCTCTACTTCTGGCCGTCGATGGTGAGTGAGGATGCAAAACACCTCACCGAGGGCCAGAGGCGAGAATGGGACCCTTCCCAGGCAGACTGGATCAGCGGGGTGGTCTGGGCGGAGGCCCAGGGAGGGCACAGGCCGCTCCCGATGGCTCAGAGGTTAGTAATGAGTCCTGTGAATGCCAGGTCTCGGGGGCTGGGCTGGCCCACACTTCACCCAAGCCAGTCGAGGTCTGGGCAGCTGGGTGGCAATAACGGCTGGGGCAAAAGCAGTAATAGCACAACCAAACCAGCCCAACCCACTGCCCATGAGTCGGCACCGACTCACAGTGACCCTCCAGGACAGGGCAGAGTTGTCTTGGGGCCTTCTGAGACGGTAACTGTAGCGACTGGTTGTTTTGAACTGCTGACCCTGTGGTTAGTAGCCTAATGCTTAACCACTACACTACTGGGGCTCCTGACAGCCAGACAAGGGGGCAACGTTCTTGGCTCTGGAGATGGAAGACCTCCAGAGAGATGCTTTGTGCCTGCACGGCAGTACTCTCGGCTGCCGGGGATAGAGCTTCATAATCTCCTTCCTCCTGCTGGACCAGCAGCCAGTGCTGATGGCCACCACCGGTTCCTGCTGACCCAGCACACCTGCCCTGACAACCCAGGACTGCCCACCGGCACACAGGACGCAGCGCAGCAGGACAAGGGTGTGGGGGATGGGGGGAAAGGGACTTGGGTCTGAGGGCCACCTCCCCACCCCCCAGCAGAATCACTCACACTCCGGACGGTCACATCTTCCATCAGGTCAGCTACCTCCTCTTCCTCACCTGGAAGGAGGGGCCAGAAGGAAGGGAAGCCTGTGAGCATGTAGTTAGCCCACCTGCTGTCCTGCAGCCCACCCTGCCCGTGCCCTCCACCTGTGCAGGAGGATTGCTTCAACTTCCTCCTGGCAAACCTGCCCCCTGCTTCCCTGCTGCCACGGGCTGAGCAGCCCCAGGAAACCGCACTCAAACCCAATATGTCAAATAGCAGCATGTGACGACGGGCGAAGGCTGAGGGTGGGACACCCGGGAATGAGAATGAGGCCCGAAGGGTGGGGGGCTATGGGGAAGGCTTCAAAGGACTTGAGCAGGGTCGGTTTGGAGAGGCAGAAGCAGGGGAGGGTGTTCTCGGCAGAAGGAATGCGTGGACAAGGAGAAGCAAGGAGCCTGAAAAAAGGGGTGAGATCAGAGCCAGGGGCTCACTGACACCGCCCGAGACCGGGAACTACGGGTCCGTGTGGAGTGCCAAAACCAGGGCACAGAGACGCAAAATCACCGCATGAGTCGCATGTCTGGGAAGCAGACAACCGAGACCCAGACGCAGGCCCCACGGCCAGCTCCCAAGTCCAAATGGCTCCCTAGCTATGCCTCAAAGTAACAGGAACTCACACAAGAGCTGCCCTGCCTGCCGTGAAGATGGGTGGCCTGGGCGCGCTGGCCGGCAGCCCGCCTGCAGCCCGAGGGCACTGGGAACAGAGGACGGGGAAGCAGACAGCTGTCTTCTGGAAGGCCTGGGCCTCGAGATGTGCGGGACGGGGCAGGGCACGCTCGACTGGACAGCCTGAGACACTGGACCAGGGCGCTGGAGGCTCTGAGTCCGGCTCTTCCTGCCTCTAAGTGACCCTCGGGGTCCGTTACTCTTGTCAGGAGCAGAAAGCCTCATCTTTCTCCCACGGAGCAGCCGGTGGTTTTGAGCTGCTGACCTTGTAGACCGCAGCCCAACTTGAGAGAGATGCCAATCAAAACAATAGTGAGGTGTCATCTCACCTCAGCAGTAACAGAAATGATTGAAAAAGGAGAGGAAACCACACATGCGGTGAGGATGCGGGGAGGCTGGTGGGAGGACAAACGGCTCCATGGGAGGCCCCTTCCACAAGCAATCAGAAGCTGGGAGCTCCTAGGATCCAGCTGTCCCGTGACAAGCTAGCTAGGCTGAGCAATGGGACCCGTAACGAGACTCAGTACGTGCACGTACGTTAGTCACAGCAGCGAAAAGACGCCCATCGATGGAGGAATGAACAAGCTATCCTACACCCCCAGGAGGGGGGCCCTGGGGGTGCAGTGGTTATGCATGGGGCGCCAGCCGCTCTGTGGGAGAAAAGTGGGGGCTTTCCATCCTGTAAGCAGCCAGTCTCTGGAATACGCTGGGGCAGGAGGCTGTGAGTGAGCGAGGGACCCGAGGTGTGGGGGGGAGGGTGCACGGCCATGCTAAAGGATGAGGATGAGTCCGTGAAATGCTTCGTCACATGGAGGAACCTGGGGGACGCTACACTGAGGGAAGTCACTTGATCCCAAAGGGCGAAATCTGCACGAGACCACATGGACACAGGGAGTCCTGAAGCGGTGGACCCTGAGTCAAACACGTCCTTGACGGATACCAGGGATGGGTGGAGGGTACCAGGGATAGGTGGAGCAGCAGGTACGGCAATTCATCAGCGGGCCCACCATGACCCAGGCACAGGGAGACCCTGAGGGGTGTGCCAGGGCCAAAGACATACGCGGTGAGCACTGGTCCCCTCGCAGCCACAGGACAACACAGTCACTGAGGAGCGAGAACGCAGGAGACATGGGGACTGACCGGGTCTGCATGGCTTAGGGGGTATACCTACGTGCGGGCATCTCTCGGCTGGATAAAGCATCTTTCTACACCTGTATTTGTATGAGCACCCAGGTACAGCGCAGGGAGCCTAGGGGAGAGTTCTGCGAGCTTCGTAGCCATAACCAAACATATTGAGAGACTAAGTCCTGGGGCTCCTGGACAAAGCAAGGCCAGCTGTGGTCTGAGAGATTGGAGGAAGCCCTGAGATGAGGCCCTCAGACACTCCTCACAGCTGGAACGGAACCCACTCCCCAGGACCACCTGGCAGCCCAACCACAGCCAGGTCCAAGAAGTAAGCAGCAACCCCATCCCCCACCCCCCAACAAACAAACCCCTCCGATCAAGGAGGGCAGACCAAAGGGCAGCGTATGCCCGGATCACAGTTCAAGAGTCAAGAGGGCACGGGAGAGATGGGCGGAGGGAGGCAGGGGTCCCAAGAGGAAGTGCCATCATCACATTGAGGGCTCGGGAGCTAGTGCCCTGAAGCAGAAGGAGCGTCAGTCGCTGAAAGGGACATCAAGGTGCGCTGCAGTCAATCCCACCCAAACCAGAGTGAAATGCCCAAGAACCATGAAGAAGGGAGGGCAGAGAGAGGAGACTCCGGAGCAGCGAGCCAATCATGCAGGGCAATGAGGGGAAGTCCCGTGGTTGAAGGACACATGGTTGCAACATAAGACTTCTCGGTGTGCGAGAAACACACCAAGCTTGAGGAAGTTGTCTTAGAAACTTCTTCTGTTTCCACTTTACTTCCCCGACAAATGGTTGCAGGCTCGAGAATAAATGCATGCACACAGGCCTGGCCCGGGAGCAAGTGGGTGAGAGACAGACAGACAGAGAGAGAGAGAGAGAGCGCAAGCATGAATGGATGAATGAATGCATGCAGGTCTTGCCCGGGAGCAAGCGGGTGAGAGAGAGAGAGAATGAATGGATGAATGAATGAATGCATGCAGGTCTTGCCTGGGAGCAAGCGGGTGAGAGAGAGAAGTGAACGAACGCATGCACGCACGCAGGCTTGGCCCGGGACAGACAGACAGGCAGCCCTACCCTTCGTGCCCTCCTCCTCCTCCATCTGGTCTCCGTCGTCGTCCTCCTGGATGATCAGCCGGCCGTCAGCGCTGACCTTGAAGCCATGGTCCCTCTTCTTGCCCCGGCCCAGCCCGGGCTGCGTGGCTGGGGTGGCAGAGTGTGGGGTGAGGGGTGGCGGGCATGACCCACAGCCCGGTGGTGTGCCCCAAACCACAATGGACATCAGCGTGTAAAGGGCAGGGGTCCGCGGCTCCCCCGGGAACCTGGATTGGGTCAGGCCTGTTCTCAGCAGCAGCAGGTGGCGCTTCCTGCTTACCTAGGACACGCTGGGCCACCTTGGGGTCCAAGAAGTTGAGGGGCTCATCCCCGCCACCCTCTTTCAGCCACGCCCGGCTCCTCTGCCGAGCCAGCTTCCGCTGCTCCTTGCCCCGGCTCCTTTCTGGCTTCTCCTCCTCCTCCTCGTCGTCCTCCGAGTCAGCCAGAATCTCCTCAATGCTGAGGACAGAGCCGTAGTCAGTGGGTACCCTTCAGGGCAGGCACAGCCAGGTTCCGCCCGAGTGTGCTGCAGGGGGGAGGGAGGCCAGGTTTGAGGCCCGCTGTGGGTCTCACCTGTCGCCTTTGCCCTGGGCGGGCTCCTCCTCCTCCTCTTCCTCCTCCTCCTCCTCCTCCATGGCAGCCTGGCTCAGGGAGCGGTGCCGCCTGGCCCGGGCCTCGGCTTTCCGGATGTTGATCAGGACTTTGTGGTAGTCCTCTGGCAGCAGCCCCTTCACAAGCTCAAACCTGAGGGGATGAGGAAGGGCAGTGAGGGGTGCTGGCCTGAGCCTCCCCCGGCCCGGGGCCTCCCTGCAAGGGCCACTCCAGGGCTCGGCGCACAGACCCGAACTTGCGGATGAACTTGGTGAACAGGTTCCGGAGCTTTGTGCGGAAGTGCCGACGCATGTCGTCCGAGAGCTTCCCGATGGCGTCCATCTGCAGGCAGAGCTCGGTCTCAGCGCGGCCCTACCAGGGCAGCCAGCTTGGGGCAGCCACATGTCCACCTCAGTGCCCCTTCCCAACACCAGCCGTGGCCACCCCACCTCGACCACAGCTTCCAGATTTTCCACGAGCGACCTCATGGGTCCTTTCCACAGCCCTTGAGAGTAGACGCCACTCCCACCCCCAAGTTACAGAGGAAGCCGAGCACGGAAGGGTGCGTGGCCAGTGGCCGAAGCAGAAGGGGCAGGATGCAGGCTTGGGAGTCCCCTGACTTGGCTGCTCTCCAGCCTCTGCTCTGCCTGCTTTGGGCCACACAGGTAACAGCCACCACCTGAAGCCGATCATGTTACCTGCAGTGTCTCCAAGGCGGGCTGGGGGGCACTGGGCCTCAGCCTGGCTAGAATGGGGATGCTGGGGTTTGGAGGGCAGTCCTGGGTTACTGCAAGCCTGATGTCCCAGCCGGCCCCCCCAGGTCAGCAAGGACCAGACTTTTCTGCAGCCCGAGTGGGGACATGTCTAATGGAGTCGTCTGGAACCGGGACGGTAAAGGCGAGACATGATGGGGCCCCGCAGAGGGAGCCCCTATGAGGCTTGGGTTCTGTTACCTGTGGCCTCTGGCTTCCCGGAGGGACCCTGGAGGGGGGTGAGGGGAGGGTTGGGGACGACAATGGGAGCAATCTGGACACCGGGACTTTCCTGGCCTCGCCGGGCCCCATTCCCTGGCTCCCCATCACCTCTGGCTGCACAGGCTGCTGTTAGGGAGCACTCACCACCAGCTGCACATGCTTGGCCAGGTGCGCCCCATCCATGACGGCCACCACCACCTTGACAAAGCCCAGCGCGGACTTGACGACATCGCGGGTGCGGGAGGCCAGAAGCAGGCACACACTCTCCAGCAGCTGCGCCACTAGGCGGGTGCCCATCAGCTCTGCGGAGGGGAGGGGGCCACCGTCAGTCTCTGCCTCTGCCCGTCCTTCTCCTGTGCCTGGCTCTCCTCACTCTCCCCGGAGCAGGGAGAGGCTTTGGCCCTTCGACCTCCCTCTTCGGGGCCGTGTTTTTCTCCCATTTTAGAGGTGAGATGGTGATCGGGGGGCTGAGACTCTGTTGCATTTTGTACACACATGGAGACTTCACGGTGGGGACAAAAGAAACCTGCTCCAAGTCTCACAGGGTTGGTCGGAGGGGCAGGGACAGGGCTGGGCTGGGGAGGTTACTGCGGGCAGGAGGGCAGAGCCCAGGGCAGCAGGTAGCCTTCCCTGTCCTTTCTGTGGCCTGTCTCCTGTGCCAGAGGCTCCCCTAGCCCCACTTTCTGGGCAGTTTCCCACCTAGAGGGCTTGCAGGCCTCCGAGAAGGAAACATTTACCTTTAAACTCGAAAAGCAGGTGGGTCAGAGCCAGGATGGTGCAGCTGACCGTCGTCACTGGGCCCACGAGGCCGGGGTAGATCAGGACCAGGAAGCGCTGCAGGGCTTCTGCGGGGGCAGAGACCGGGGCCGAGTCACAAGGGGACCAGGCTGCCTGAGCCATCCCCTGGGTCATGCATGGTGTCCACCTTGTTCAGCCCTGTCACCCAGGCCTCACCTTCCTGATTCTCGCCAATCCGAAGGAAGGCATGGCCCATCTCCACCAGCAGGGCAAAAGCGTTCTTCCTCGCCCCCACGGACACCTCCTTGGTGCACAGGATGACCTGCCCGCGTAGGCCAGTGAGTCCACCTGCCTCTGCAGAAAGAGTCCCCTCCAGCCCCCAAGCTCCCCCGGGACTGCCCACTGCCACAGGCCCCGCTGCTTGGGGTTGCAGGGGACCGGGGAAGGGCGCCCCCCCCCACCTCTGGAATCAGTGCAGCCATGAAGTCCTCGTGTTCTCCGGAGAGCTGCTTCACGATGTGGATGAGGCACTTCAGGCGGGGCTGCGGGGTAGGGGGGGTCAACGCTCAGGATCCTGGGGTGCCCGCTCCTTCCCCACCACCCTGGGGGCCACCCTGAGCCTCACCCTCTTGGCGGGGGAGGCCGTGGTGCGCAGGGAGTCCAGGAGCGTCTTCTTCAGATCGTCCAGGTGGCTCTGCACGAATTGGGCACACGGGCCCTGCGGGCTGGCACACACCTCCTCCAGCACACGGTAGGCCTTCTTCTGCACCCCGTGCTCCTTGCTCTGGGAGAAGGCGTGGTGGTCAGTGCGGTCAGGGTGGCCAGTCACACCTGGGGGGGCCTTCTCAGAGCACCCAGCACCACTGCGATGGTGACCGTGGCTCAGGGACTCAGAAAACCTGGCTCTGCTCCTGAGGCCTGGGCAATGAGAAACTCCCTCCTGTGCTGGGCACTGGGACCGCCCACCACTGCACATGCCACGGCCACATTGCATGGCTGCTCCGGCTTCTGCAGCAGCTACTCTTGCTGGCCGGTGCCCTCTACTCACTCCTTCCTCCTCCATCTGCCTCGCAACTGGGTCTTTCCTCGTTGCCCTGGGGACCCCCGGCCTAGCCCTGCCTTGCCCTCGGGGTCTTCCCTGGTCCCTCAGTGTGGGTCTGCACAGTAACCACTGACTGTCCCCCCAACCCTGGGCACCTCTGCCGAGGCCAGCTGGCCCTGCCCCTCAGAGTGTGTCTCCCACTGCGTGGCAACTGCTGGGTAGGTGGCCCCAGGGTGAGGGTGTTCAGGGGCCCCGTGGAGCTGTGCTGCCATGGCGGTGGGCCGCAGTGGGTAGGGGGGACATTCTGAGCAGAGGGACCTAGGGGCCTGCTTGCCGTGGGCCTCGTGAGAGCAGCCTGGTGAGGCAGGACAGGGAAGGGTTAGGAGCGGTCTGGGGCTGCCGGCGAAGGAGGCTGGCCGGTTCTGGTGAAGAAGCCTCGGTGGGCGAGGCCTGAACTCTGCTGCGTCACTTTGGCACATGGGCTGTGGCGGGGAAGCCCCCCCAGGAGAAAGCAGCAGCAGAGGGTACAGTCAAGAAGGGAGGCCCCGCTCCCCTCCGGGGCCTCTGGAGGGCTCACCTCCAGGTAGGGGCGGATAGTGGAGTACAGCTTGCTGATGGCAGCTTCGTCAGCATGAGGAGCCAGGGCCACCACCAGGTCCAGGACAGACAACCTGCAGGGGAGCAGGCGGATGCTGTCTACTGGGGCGGCCCTGCCTCTGAGGTCTGCAGCCTTTTGGGGACAGGGATGGTGGCCGGGAAGAAGGATGAGGGGACAAAGGCCCCGAAGGCGCGGGCTCGGGACGGAGCTCAGAATGTACCAGGCACCATCCGAGGTGATTGGCACGTGTTAGCTCCAATTTCCATAGCAACCCTGTGAGCCAGAGGCTGTCGGGCCCATCTTATAGAAGAGGACCCTGAGGCGGAGCAGGCATGTTGCTTGTTATGTGGCCTGCAGGCGAGGCTGGGACATGAACCTAGGTGGCATGTCATGTCTCTGGGAAAGAAATCCCTCAGGCGTCGTCATAGAACTAGGCCACTCAGGATGGAAAGATTTCCCCCAGTCCGTCTAGAAAGAAGCCACAGGTACCCCCATCCCGACCCCGCCCAGGCTGCCCCAGCTCAACAGGGAAGCTCTGAGCAGCGCGGTACCTGGTGAAGTCAGAGCTGGCGGGGTCAAGCACCTTCTCGCTGGCTTTTTCCATGAAGCCGTTCACCAGCTGGGGATGGGAAAGCGGAGGATCCAGAACAGGCCCCAGAGCTGCCCCACCCTTCCCTCTGTGGACATTCGTCCAGAAGCCCTCAGCCCAGCCCAAGCCACGACCACTGCGGTCCAACCTGCTGCTGTCTGAGTGGCAAAACCCAAGCGAGCCCTGGTGGAAAGGGTCTCACCTTTCCAACACGCCCAACCCTGGGCCCCTGAGAGCCTGTGTCCAGACCCCACATGCTCACCTGGGGCTCGGTTATGGTGAGGTACGTTTTGATGGTTTCCAGCATGACCCGGCGAGGGGCTGGGGTGTCTCCGGGGGCAACGGGCTGTCCGTACAGGTTGAAAAGGATTGGCAGGAAGTTCTTGGCAAAGCGGCTCACTTCAGCACGGTCAGCCGCTGGTAGCAAGACGGAAGTTTGTAGGAGAGGGGCAGCAGCTGGCCCCGCAAGGGTCAAGAGGGACAGAGGGCTGGGCATCGAGAACGAGGTGCCACTCGGGCCTGAGATCCTCCACAGCCCCTGACAGGGTCCAGCGGAGTGCCAGCTTCCCTTAACACTGCCCTCAATATAACCGAGTTAGTCCACAGTGCTGGCCGGCACGGGGACTAAGCCCAGAGCTGGGCAGTTGGTTTGCAGCCCCTGCGAACTCCTTGGTCCACCGAACACTGAGCTTGATGGGCTACTTCCTCTGGCTCCAGCTGGCCTGTGCCACAGCAGAGCAGGGTGGCCCCTGCCATCCCTTCCGCCCCCAAGCCCACACGTACCTGCCTCACAGCCCTTGGTGATGAGGGTGCGCAGAGCCTGGCACACCGTGACCCTCAGGTCTGGGCGCTCGCTAATAGCCATGCCCAGCGTCCTCGCCAGCCCTTTAAAGGCAGTGGCCACATCCGTGGGCCTCGTGCAGAAGCCAGGCAGGAAGGTCCAGATCTGGGGTGGAAGGCGATGGTCAGGGAAGGGACGAGGCCCAGCGCACCATGCCAACCCCCACTCCCCCACGCTGCACCCACGCAGGCCGTACCTGCCACTGGAGCGTGTCGTAGATCTTGGACTCCACTGTGCTGCCCGCCTGGGCCAGCTCCGTTGCTGGAATGTAAGACAAGGACACAACGTGACCCAGGACCCCCACCTGGCCAGTGGCATCACTTTGATCAAAACCCAAAGCCCACTGGTGAAGGTGGGACCACCGGTGACTTCCTCTTTGCAATAAATGAGCGTGTAACGGGTGCCCCAAACAAAGCCGCTGCGGCCGAGTCCATTCCGACTCGCAGCGGCCTTACAGGACACGTAGGCCTGCCCCTGTGGGTTCCTGAGACTTTACATCTTTACAGCAGTCGATAACCTCATGTTCCTCCCATGGAGCATGGGTTTGAACCATGGACCTTGTGGTGGGCAGCTCAAGGTGTATCCCACTCCGCCACCAGAACTCCTCTGCTAAGTCACGGTCGGTGCACAGTCTTAATCTTCAGAAAACCCCACAGGGGCACACAGGGCTTCCTCTGCATGGTCTTTGAGAGGCAGACACAGACACACACACACACACACACACACTTTTGAAAACAAAGGGCATGTCATCAATTTCCTGTTTGCCCAGAGGGAAAACCGCTAACGGTGACTAGCACGGCCACGTGTGTCTGTCCAATCTGGTAAGAAGATGATGGTATTTTAACACACGGAGGAAAAGGAGACGCATTAAAGAAAACCCAGTCTTCATTTTCTCAGCGAGCTGTGGGAGAGCGCGGTGCACTTCCTGTGTCCCACCCAGTCCGGAACAGGGGTGGCCCTGTCCTCACTGGGCCCTATCACAAGGGAGGCTACCCGTCTCCTGCACTCTGCCCATCTCCTGCACTGTGCTGCTGAGCGGCCACTCTGGTCACCGCCCACTAGAGGGCAGTGGCACCCTGCCTGAACAGAACTCAAAAACTCTGGGTGACCAGAGACTTCTAAAATTAGCCAGGGACTGCCGACCTCTACCCTGGTCCAGGGGATGCACACACACATGCATGTGTGTCGTGCAAGTGTACTGACATGCGAGGAGTCTTCCAAATGATTGTGGAAATGCAATTTCTTCAGGAACTGTCTGAAGCTCCTCTTATCACATACATATACCTGCACATATGTACACATACATAGAATACATGCATATGTATGCAGATATACACACATGCAGATACACACACAAACATTTACATATGTACACACAAGTAAGTAGAGACATATTACAAAAACTGAAAGACATCTATTCCAAGAGCTCTCACAGGGCAAAGGGGGCAGGCATGTTTGTGACCCCAGGGTGAGGAATGAGGCCCCGGTGGAGGCTCCAGACTGGAGCTACCAATGCCCCATGGGGCAGGGGAGGCCCCTGGCCTGTGGCAGGCCCTGGAGAAGCCCCGTACCTTTGCTTTTCAGGGTGTTCGCCAGAGGCAGGAAGTAGGTGGTGAAGAAGCCAAGCCGAGTCTCCCGGACATGGTCCCGGATGACGGGCAGCAGCCAGCTCCGTGGGAAATCCAGGGTCTCTCTGGGGGGGGAGGGAGGGGAGCAGTAGGGGTGAGGCTGAGGTGATAGCCTGGGGCAGCAGCTGTGGCACTGAGGACTGGCCTCTCACTGTCTCGCCCACTGAGCACACAGACCCTACAGGGGCTAAGGCGCCCTGGAAGGACTCTGAAGGGGCTTGTAAGGAAGCCCTTCAGGGCCACACTTACTCAGAGCCGTCGATCTCCAGAGGCACAGCCTGCAGCACCACCTCAGGTCCCATGCTGCTCACGGCAGCCCCCACGGCCTGATCCAGCGCGGCTGAGTGGGGAAAGTGGGGGGACAGGCGCAAGTCGCACAAGGACTGGAGGCACTGGAGCAGAGAGAGGAGGCAGACCACGAGTCAGGTCAGGGCAGCTCACCACGCAGGGCCGCTGGTGGGGCGAGGCTCCAAGATGCTGAGGTCGGGGGCCAGCTAAGGCTATAAACTGACAGGCTCTGGTCTTTGGGGCCACAGCTCTAAATGACCCGGGGGACAGGGGTTCTTCTGGGGGCTTGAGTCAGCCACATCCGACCATCAGGGTCATGAGATTTTATAAACATGTCTAGACTTCCAGCTACCTTGGAAACAGGGAGTCTGCAAAGGCAAGAGTGCCCTACAGGTGACTGTGTGCAAACCCACAGGGACAGCCCACGGGTGACTGTGTGCAAACCCACAGGGACGGCCCACGGGTGACTGTGTGCAAATCCACAAGGATGGCCCACAGGTGACTGTGTGCAAACCCACAGGGACGGTCCAGGGGTGACTGTGTGCAAACCCACGAGCACTGAGGAGCTGACCCTCTGCGCTCACTTGACCCGGGCAGGAAACCCCGTTGGGCCGTGGCGCTGGCAGGCCTCTCGAGGGAGCCCTCCCCTGCCTTCTCCCAGGGAGCAGATGGGATCTGCTCTTCTTGGGGCTGCTGAGGCCACCCCCGCTCCCCATGACCCCACTGCAGAACTGCCCCTCTCCTAAGGTCCCCTGGGAGTGGATCACTGGGTCTCTCACTCAGAGCTACTGGGCAGGTTCAAATTGTCACTGTGCCGGTTAAAAGCCGAGCGCTTCCCCACTGTACCAGAGGACCCACGAGGCTGGTTAAAAACCAGCAACAGCATGGGCTCACAACAGGGCACTTAGACAGGAAAGGAGGAAGACAGAGTGTGAATGGGGCGGGTCACGCCGGCTTCCCGGCAGTTCCAAAGCCATCCATCCAGCCAAGACCAGGAGGCAGGTGGGGATGGCTGGCGGGTACAGCCACCTGCCTGCTCCCCTTCCTCCCACCATTTGCCTTCCTTGGTGCTCGGTTGGGGGGGGGGCAGGATTCTGGCGAGGGGTGCTAGGTGTACTTCTAACAAGAGACATGCCCCAATCCTCCAGGAGCTCACCGCCCCATCCCCAGGTGAACCCTGGACACAGCCCAAGGGCCACATGGTCCCCAGCCTGCACCTCACCTTCTTCATCACAGGATGGGCCTGCCGCCCGCACGCCTGGAAGAAGACGCTCAGCAGCTGCAGCACGGAGCCCCAGGCTGCGTGGAACTTGTAAGTCAGGCCTTCCTCCACGGCCCTGCCGAGGGAGAAAGGAGGGCGTGGGGCCTTGCTCACAGTGCCCCGGAGCTCCGGGACCCCAGAAAAGGCCCAGGGGGAGAAGGTGCAGCCACACAGCACGCACCCTGCTCCAGACTCTGCCGAGAGCGTGGACACCTGAGAGGGACGCCACCCTTGTCCTCACCTGTCTCACCTTTCACCTTTAGCCAGGGCACTCTGGCTCAGAGAGCAGAAGGAACCTGCCAGGGCCACCCGGCTAGTGGCCAAACTAGCAGGCCAGACACTCGTGCGTGGCCCACAGGGAGGGATACGCAGGGGGACACTGGGCAGCACCGCACATGCCGCTCACCTGAACATCCTGGCGACATACTGGGCGGGTGCTGGAGCCGAGGCGGTCACAGAGCCGATGGCGGCCATGTGCGGAGCAACACATTCTGTGAGGATCTCCTGCAGGAACAAGCCACAGACAGGCTGGCCCCTTCCAGTGCCACCCACCTCTGACCAGGTCACTGCGAAGCTCATCCCCGCCACCCCTGAAACCGGGGCCCCTCCCAGGACCCAGCTCAGGGAGGCAGGGGGTGGTGGCAGGGCTGGGGAGCTGGGAGGGGGCAGTACCTTGAGGCTCTGGGTGGCTGCGGCCACCACCTGCGAGTACGGGGAAAGGAGGCAGGTCATCGCGGTTACAAAAAGGCGAGGGAGGTGGCCCAGCCCCAGGTCCCGCTGCAGCCTGCCAGGACAAAAGGCTTCTATGTGGGCTGGCCTGCGCTCCCCAGACGGCCACCGCTGACCTGCAGCACCCCTGCAGGGCAAGTGCTGCCAGGCCAGTCATAACCACATGTGCTAAGAAACCCGAGCAGGGACCGAGTGTCTTCCTTCACACCGCCAGGCAACCAAGTTATGTTTCTCAAACAGAGTTAGTTAGTTAATTGTGTCAACCCGGCCGATAATCACATGTGGGGCTAATTGAAAGGCAGAGGGATAAGTGGGTGGTGAGCCTCGCCTTTCTAGTTCTCGGTTCTGTTTTGTGATGGTCGCACCGGGTGCAGCTGCCTTAGCAGTTCCCTGCTTCAGCTTGCAAGATTGAGTTCCTACAAGACATCCCCAA